ATTGGTGAATGCCACAAATTCTCCTAAATCACTCGTACGCACAATTTAAGAACAAATCTGTGCGTACGAACTGTTCTTGCAAGAGGCCCAATGTTTCTTCGAGCGGAACCACAGATTAAAAAGAGGTTTGCACAACAAATAAGCTGTGGTTTTTGAAAAGCTGACAGCAGCTAAGGTTTTGCTCTCCCTGCTGTGATTCAGGAGGCACTTCTGACTGACTACTTGAACACTAAGAACCTGAGCGAGGCTGTGAATGGCGTGCGGGAGATGAAGGCTCCAAAGCATTTCTTGCCAGAGATGCTCAGTAAGATGATCATGTGTTTGCTGGACCAGCCCGATGAGGACAAGGAGCACATCAGCACTCTGATTCACACCCTCCGCAGTGAGGGTCTCATCACCGGAGAGAGCTTCATGCAGGTAGTTAACATCCCTCCTGGACCACTGTTCTCACACAGACATTGATTCAGCACTCGCACGTTTTTACGTTCTGCATCTTCAGGCTTTCCTCAGCGTCCTGGACCAGTGCCCTAAGATAGAGGTGGACGTGCCCCTGGTGAAGTCCTACCTGGCTCAGTTTGCGGCCCGGGCCATCATTGCAGAGCTGGTGAGCGTGGCAGAGCTGGCTCACCCCCTGGAGAACGGCACCCACTTCCCCCTCTTCCTCCTCTGCCTGCAGCAGACGGCCAAGCTGAAGGACCGCGAGTGGCTCACAGAGCTGTTCCAGCAAAGCAAGGTCAACATGCAGAAGATGCTTCCAGGTAAACCCTTCTGGCTTTCATCCAGGTTCAACATTTAAATGCAACGTACACGGGTAATCATGAAACCGTTTGTCTGCGACAGAAATCGATCAGAACAAGGACCGCATGCTTGAGATTCTGGAAGGGAAGGGGCTGAGCTTCCTCTTCCCACTGCTAAAGCTGGAGAAGGAGCTGCTGAAGCAGATTAAAGCAGACCCCTCTCCACAGTCCATTTACAAGTGGATTAAAGACAATATCTCACCCAGGCTTCACACTGACAAAGGCTTCGTCAACATCCTTATGACAAGGTAAGTGATGGAAACCATGTTAGCAACACTTAACACCTGTCTGTCACTGGGCTGCCGCTGTTAGAGTTCCCAAATATTTGAGAGTTTGAAATTTCCTCTCATGAGTTGAAAGGCCTTGCTGCTGTGTTGCTGAAATGTCCAACGTACTCATAATTTCCACATTTTCTCTCAAAGTAATCTGAGACATCATTTGCATTAAAAATAATTTCATAAAACTCTAAAAAAATATGCAAGTTATGAGAGACAAGGGCACATTTTGCCAATTTCATTCATGCATCATCAGGGTTCAACAAGATTTTTTTCTTTACCTGCCCGAAACAAAAATGTTCAAAATTTGATGAAATATAAGAAAACCGTGTACTGTAATTGTACTAAAAAACTATTAACATGGTTATACAGAGGTACATAATATATGACATCTGATTTAGCAGATGCAAACATTGCAGACTGAGTCACTCACAGTCAGTCAACTGTTTTATCAAAAACATCTTGAAAAACCTTTTTTTAGACCTTTCCAGTGTTTCCCATAGAGTACTGGTCTTGGGAGGGCTGCTTATAAAAACAGAATGATCAACAGCAGCAGCTTTGTTTTAAATACAATTTACAGAACATGAAAGTCTGCAATTTGAATTAAGTGAATCTTATATAGCCTATTTCATATCTAAAGATACATTTAAGATATCTTGAACTGGAGTCTCTCTACAACTTAATGATAAATCTAATGTTATTTATACAAGTCAGAATATAATTAGAGATATCTTAAATAGGTATTTTGAATTGTCAAAATACACTCACCGGCCACTTTATTAGGTACACCACGCTAGTAACGGGTTGGACCCCCTTTTGCCTTCAGAWCTGCCTCAATTCTTCGTGGCATAGATTCAACAAGGTGCTGGAAGCATTCCTCAGAGATTTTGGTCCATATTGACATGATGGCATCACACAGTTGCCGCAGATTTGTCGGCTGCACATCCATGATGCGAATCTCCCGTTCCACCACATCCCAAAGATGCTCTATTGGATTGAGATCTGGTGACTGTGGAGGCCATTTGAGTACAGTGAACTCATTGTCATGTTCAAGAAACCAGTCTGAGATGATTCCAGCTTTATGACATGGCGCATTATCCTGCTGAAAGTAGCCATCAGATGTTGGGTACATTGTGGTCATAAAGGGATGGACATGGTCAGCAACAATACTCAGGTAGGCTGTGGCGTTGCAACGATGCTCAATTGGTACCAAGGGGCCCAAAGAGTGCCAAGAAAAGATTCCCCACACCATGACACCACCACCACCAGCCTGAACCGTTGATACAAGGCAGGATGGATCCATGCTTTCATGTTGTTGACGCCAAATTCTGACCCTACCATCGAATGTCGCAGCAGAAATCGAGACTCATCAGACCAGGCAACGTTTTTCCAATCTTCTCTTGTCCAATTTCGATGAGCTTGTGCAAATTGTAGCCTCAGTTTCCTGTTCTTAGCTGAAAGGAGTGGCACCCGGTGTGGTCTTCTGCTGCTGAAGCCCATCTGCCTCAAAGTTCGACGTACTGTACGTTCAGAGATGCTCTTCTGCCTACCTTGGTTGTAACGGGTGGTTATTTGAGTCACTGTTGCCTTTCTATCAGCTCGAACCAGTCTGCCCATTCTCCTCTGACCTCTGGCATCAACAAGGCATTTCCGCCCACAGGACTGCCACGCACTGGATGTTTTTTCTTTTTCGGACCATTCTCTGTAAACCCTAGAGATGGTTGTGCATGAAAATCCCAGTAGATCAGCAGTTTCTGAAATACTCAGACCAGCCCTTCTGGCACCAACAACCATGCCACGTTCAAAGGCACTCAAATCACCTTTCTTCCCCATACTGATGCTCGGCTGCAGGAGATTGTCTTGACCATGTCTACATGCCTAAATGCACTGAGTTGCCGCCATGTGATTGGCTGATTAGAAATTAAGTGTTAACGAGCAGTTGGACAGGTATACCTAATAAAGTGGCCGGTGAGTGTATATTAAGAGATATTTTTTTATTTATTTGTTTCTTTCATTTATAAAAACAAACCAATCTATGTACACCATTAAAAAAACAAAGTAAATCATACCCTGAGTTAAAAGGGTGCAGAGGGAAGAAAAAAACTATCATATTTGCCCCTTATTTTTAAAAAATCAGCTTCAACAAACAAACAAGCTCAAGCTGGAAAGATCTCCAATAATAAAAGGAAACATTTTATTATTTTATCCTAAATAACTAATATGTCTAATCTAGTCATAAAACAATTTCAAATAACTGGAATGTAAGCGTGGTGAAGCCAAATAAATGCAACATCGGCCTGCCGTACAGTGAGCCTGTTGAACTGACCCTCTGCTGCTCTGCTCTCAGAGCACAAGCTGACATTAACAAGATGGATTTACGGCTGAACGAACGTCCACATCTTTTTATCATCTCTGTGGGTATAACAATACATAAAAACAAGGTTTTTTTTCTCCGACAACTTGGGTGTGGAAAAACTACAGTTGTTAAAGCTTTAAAGAAAAATACTTTATTTTGGTTTTAAGAAGAACACACAAACTTGTTGACTTTTTTTTTAAAATTCGTAACTAATAAAAAGATGTGGTGGATACTAGTGCTGGGCAGTATACAGTTTTGTGCCACATACCGGTTTTTATTTTTGTTATGATATGAATTTTCAGAATACCTGAATACCGGACATAACGGTTTAAATAGTCTGAACATGTGCGGAACGTTTGGTCGCGGCCGCCATTGAGTTGTTTCCCGGGGGACAGTTTTCCTTGCAGCACCGCTATGTGCGTTAGCATGCTAATGTTATAGTTGAACAGCTTCAGAGGCAGGTGGCGATTTTGCTGCTTATATTGACTGACTTTAAAAAAACATCCCGTTTTCACCATTGCTGAATGTAGTAAACACCTCTTCAGTGACGTGCACAGTTAGATTTAAGGCGCGACATTAATATTGGAGACGTTATGTTAATGGAGACTTAATGTGGTTCTATTGTGAAAAGCCGGGGGGAAGTAGTTTTGTAGTGGAATTGAGTTGACTGGTGTGCAAGGTGAGTCGTGCTGTTAATCTTTATTAAATAACATAAAACAATAAACCCGATAATAAACTTTTCGTAACCCTCCTCCTTCACGACCGGACCAAAATGCGTGACCACTGTGTCCAACTAGGAGGAGGAGAAGAAAAGATGTTTAGAGGAGGGAAACAGAGACACAGACAGAGGTACAGTAAAAGAAAAAAGTTAATAAGCAGTGTTTGTACATTTTATTATCAGCTGACCTGTGATGAAAAGAAAAATACCGTCAAATACCATCAAACCGGTGTAAATGTTGAAAATACCGTGATATAAATTTTTGTCCATACCGCCCAGCTCTAGTGGACACATCTTGTGTAGATGTAGAACATCCTGAATATTGTTTTGCACAAGAAACCCTGGGGTTGAACCTGAACTGTGTGTGATCTCTGACAGTTTCCTGCAGTACATCTCCCAGGAGCTGGGCATGGCGGAGAGTGACGATCAGCTGGCGGCTCCCTCCAAAGAGCTGCTGGAGCAGGAGAAGCAGCTGCTGCTGGCCTTCAAACCCGTCATGCAGAAGTTCCTGCACGACCACACCGAGCTGCAGGTCAGCGCCCTCTACGCTCTGCAGGTGCACTGCAACGCCAGCTGCTTCCCCAAAGGTACCCAAACACCCATATTTGTATCTGTCCTGTGTTTTTATAAAGTCATTTATTTATATATTTAATTTCCAACAAGGCATGCTGCTGCGCTACTTTGTTAATTTCTATGACATGGAGATCATTGAAGAAGAAGCCTTCCTTGCATGGAAAGAAGACATTACCCAAGAGTTTCCTGGAAAAGGCAAAGCTTTATTCCAGGTACGTTTCTGACACTCGTCAATCATAAATCAGCTCTTGGTTTAATTGAGTTTACACTGGAGTTGTTCCTGACTCTTTGTTTTCTTCCCGTCAGGTAAACCAGTGGCTCACCTGGCTGGAGACGGCAGAGGAGGAGGAGTCTGAGGACGAAGCTGACTGAGAAACCCAAGTAGAAGCATCAGCCTTTTGTTCTTAACTCGCCTTTCCTTTCCTTCAACACCACGCTTAATGTAACCACTACCACGTGGCACTTGGCTGCTTTTCTCTCACAAATCTAAACCGAAAGCTTACTTTGTAGGGCCTCGTGTGCGTCCAGCTGCACTGTAAGGTCGATCATCTACATGAATTATAGACCTCTAAAGTGGCTCAACAGTCTTTTCTTTTATTTTGATCATTAAGGGTGTTCCTTTTCCGTTTTGCATGTTTTTTTTTTTTTTTTCAAATTAGAATTTTCTCTTTGACAAAATGGCTTTATTTAAAAATCAGATTTCCTCTTGAATGAATAAATATCCTAAGTGATTGTTAAATGATATATCAGGACCTTTAACTTTGAATCTGTAATGAACAAAAAGAAGCCTACTGAAAGGAGAATGAAGCATAACCATGTTCATTTATAAAACATCCCCTGCACAGCGGAGGAGTTTTAAATAAAATCATCTTCTTGGTTGCGCCTGTGAACGTTGCCACTCGTCAGGCATCACATCCTGTGTGTCTGTTATTCTCCAAACTTTAGAACATTTTCAAATCAAGTGTAATCAACGGTGTGCCGCTGTAACATCTTATAATCGCCTGCTTCTACCTCTTAGATGGGCTTTTTGGTTTTGTGCTGGGATGGGAACAATGAAAGCAAATGGTTAAATATTTGATTTAGTCCTGTCCTGATTGCACATTTAACTAATGTTCACAAAAGCTTCACCTGGTTTACAAGTATTAATATTTGAGTGAGAGGTTATGAATTTGGCAGCTTGTAGAAATGTACCCACTCAGTTTGCAGCGGCACTAACATGAGCGGCCTTTTTATTCGGAGGCTCTAGGTCTAAAATGAGAAATGGTCAGAAAATTACAACTTGTGATTTCCTTATGTAACAACTAAACAACTGAAGATCTGTTATTAAACAAACCATGTGGAAGTCAGGTGATGAATTTCTATCATTGTAAGGTATTAATAATTATTATTGTGCACCTGTTGCTTTAATGTCAGTAAAGTCCAATACATGAGCACCAAGTCTGTTTTCACTCATTGTTGTACGTATAATGGTTATTCTTTTTATTATACTTTGTTTTTTACAACTTATTTCTCATATAGTTGGATTATTATATAATTCCAATAGATTAACAAGATGTGAAGTGCTGCTCAAGTCAGTGCTTTAAAGGCACAGTGTGTAGGATTCTGTCAATTATTTTAGCCGAAATTGAGATAATCACTAATGACGACAATAAAAAAACATGTCTAATCATTGCAGACAAAGACCTTGTTTTATTATTTTTACCTTATAAAAAGCTGTTTATATCTCCATGGTC